TGCTTGTACGTGTTCGGCTGTGTTCGGTACTATAAATCCACAATTATAGAAATGCTAGTAATCCAAGAGATGTAACTATCCGTAGCGTTGCATATATGTGTGACTGCAGTCTATAAATGTAGATAATATACGTAATAGGATCCAGTTATAGCATTAATGAACAACTGAGAACATGAGACGTGCGTATAAAGTGCATTTGATAGGATCAGGCAGTGAGTGCCGTGCTATGTGTACAAAGAACGGAAACGTGGAGCAGTTAAAGCGCCTGATATATTCAAGGACACAAACTTAGACAAAATGTACAACAATTTTATAGTGAATTTACAGGCCGTGAACATTAACAGAATAAATACAAATAGTTTGAAAAACTATTTACAAAATAAGTTTGTCATGCCATCTCCACAGTATCTGTTTGTCGGGTTTAGTTTTCAGTTTGTCAGTATGTTCAATCACAGTAAAACAAGTAACTGATCCGTTCTTTCAATCAATACTCAGAAGATAGCCGAAATTTGTCAAACATCACCACAGTTACCTTGTGGAAATTGGATACACGACGGTTCGACCAGAATACTTGTACTCTAAAAAGTCCAATGACTAGCTAATGAAAAGCTAACCTCCCAAAAACGAATTCGGAAACATTATAGCCCATAAGAATCTCCATTGCATACGGTCCCGTTAGAGAAAAACAACGATTGGCGTCCAATTGGTGACTGTCTACGACGGAATACGAACACCTTACCGGATCATTACCAGTTGTTTGTTATTCACGAAGTAACCGCTACCTAAAGATTTGCGACTGGCATGCGAAACCGATGTGGTTAAAAGGTACGACGAAATCTCTAGGGTTGAGAAGGAAATTCTTAAAATAAATTACATCACCATAATTATGGTTCGACATATAATCGATCTGTGACTAACCCACATGTTATGGTTGCTAAAACAATGATTATATGCATTTTCAGCACCTCAAGAAACAATAATTTTCAAATACTCCAACCATACTTTACATAACTGCTAAGACTTTCGTAACGTATACGAGACTTGCAACATACTTTGTTAAATCATCATTTAAACACTTAAATGTCCAGATGAAGTGTAAATAGACACACCAAATAAAAACGTACAAAGTTTGTATATCTATAGCAGTTCATATTAAAATAACAAGTGAATGCAAGAAAATCCTAAATATTACCTGATTTAAAATGTAATTTCGACTTTGAGATATTCAAAAATATCATCTACAGCTAATATTAACTTCAGCTGTCGAATTTCTCGTAACATATCTATTGTAGTTGTGATCATGCGTAATTAACTTGTTTCTCTTTTATTTTCCCCCTTTCATTCCTAATCTTCAGTCTTATTGCATTTTCCTCAAAACTAATCGGAAAAACAAGAGGCTTCCAAGAAGAAATCTATCTTTTACAAACTAACTAATGACAAAGACATTGAGTCTAACGTGCAAGTATAGTTATTTCGGCGCCAAAAGTAAATAGCTCGCTACACTGAGTGTTTACCATTCACTAAAATGGCAGATGTACTTGATTTGCATGGCGAGAATGACTTCGAAGAAGATGCGGATGGCGACCGTAAGTTTAAATTTTACAACAACTTTTGAAGCCTTATGACGTTTATAAATGCACGGTAGAAGGAATATAATGTTTTCAAACCAGATGCCTATGTAGCTTTTATTGTTGGTATTGTGTAGTTTTTGGAATATTCTAGTCTTAAACATGACGTCTGAATAAAACGACGACTGATAATTTCTCCAAGACTTTGTTTGGTATTGTTTTAATATCAGTAGTATACTATGAGCATGATCATCCTATAATAGTGTCTCTTTTTTATTGAAAACCTCTTCCAGCCTTTCAACCAGATAAAGTTCAGTGATAATCTCCACCTGTCTTGTCAGGTTGCCTAGTTAGCCTGAACTGGGTCTGTTAAAAAATAGGTACAGATGTTGACATGTTATCAGTCTTCTTCTCTGAAAATCGTCGTGATATAATTCGAAACCAGGTGTTGTAACTCCAAAGTTAATTCCTCGCAACAGTACTGTTAATGTTCCACGACCTAGTTAACTCAGAATATTACATTTCCGCTTCGATGGTACACTTGAATGTTGAAACCAAGTGCTTTGTGTTCCAATTTAGTCTCATGTCTTAACTTTCTTGGTCTCTCATCAAACGAAGTCAACTAAAAAATGGTTTTGAAGAATATTGAATTTATTGTTTTAGGTCATATACGATCTCCTAATTACGTCAGTAGTTAGCGTTCTCATCCTTGTTTCCCAAGGTTCGTGTTGTCTGGCATTAAAATTATCTGAAGAGTTGAGGAGAGGATCATTAGTAGTATCAAGAAAATTCAACAAGTTCCAAAAGCCAAAGGGTGGTTCAGAATACCATTTAAATATTTTTCTGGGACACGAAGTCTACTTTAAACGTAGACCTATCTTAGGCTAAGTAATTCAGTAACGTTCCCCATGTTTTTAAGTCAAAGTAGCGTTTAACATTGCTTACTAAGTTTATTTTTGCACGAACTAACCAATGCGTTCGCAAAATATTTGTAAGATTATGTTCTAGCTGACTTACATATTCACAAGCAGTGAAAATTTATTTTCCTACTCAAGTGTTAAATACTTTGTAAAGCACTTCAATAATATAAAGTACAGTTACAGGTTATCAAATGACTGTTAGTGTTGAAGTTTAAGCAATTCGGCAACGCATTCGTCTAAAGGTTTATTTCTGTATTAGGTTAAGGGAGACGCCACCTATCGCACAAATATCACCACTCAATCAATTATTGTTAATCTACAACTCCAATAGATAAGAGAGGTTTTAAAAACCCGTGCGCAAGTCAGTCTACTAGCCAATCGCTACATGAAACGTGGTACTTCAGGGTTACCACACGAAACCAGCATGGTTAGATAAGATCGTTAGGGCAGATTACCAAGGCATTAGAGGTAGTAACAGTATTAGTGGTATTAAAAAAAGTTTAGATGTATAGGATTTGGAATAACAAAAATATTATGACATTCAGAAATTTAGAATTTGGAGGAAGACAATGGATGCGCCTGCGTCATTTTAAATAATTTTAAGTCATGTCATTCAAAGCCTTTAATCATCACTTGCAATAACCACATAGACTCTAACAGTTTAGTCGACACACTAGATTATGACTCAGTTCAGTTGTTTATGACTTCGTAGATTTGTTCCGTGTTTCGGTTTGTCTGTCTCTCTAAACTTCTTCAGAAGTTTGAGCGCTCCGATATAGTAATAATGACGGGTGACTTCAATGCTTAAGTATGTAGACTGAGTGAGAAAGGAAAGACACCTGGGTGGATCTTACGGTGTCGTGGCTAATAGAACAGATAATGGCGACCGTCTACTGCAGCTATGCTCAGATAACTGCATATTTCTAGCAAAAACTAACTTTAAGCATAAGCAAAAACATCTGACCTGGCCACCCCCAAAGCCGACCCAACGATGGAGGCAACTAGATCACAGCGCTTTAAGCCATCAGTGGAGAAGCTCTGTTGAAGATCGCCGCTCATTCTGGAGCACTTGTTTAGACTCAGACCATGCTCTAGTGCGATCACGTATTTGTTTGAGGCTTACTAAACAAAGGAAAGACATCTCAAGGAAACCTTTCAGGGCTCTACTTACTGATGATAAGGCTAAGAATATATTTCAGGAACAACTAGAAAAACAGTTAGGCGACCATGTGGGCGATTCCCATCCGGATTCAGGTTGGAATGGTATCAAAAAGTCTGTGGGAATGGTAGTGATATCTGCTAGCAAGGTAAACTATAAGGTTAGGGATAAGCCGTGGATCTCAGTAGCATCTACCGAACTGGTGGATGCTCGAGAACTCATTCCACCTGGCTCTGAGTGCGATGAGGAGCAGAGTCAGCTCAGGCGGAGGCTGATAAAAAGCCTTCGCAATGATCGAGAACAGTGGTGGGTGGCGAAAGTGAGAGAGATGGAAAAGACAGCAGCGATAGGCAACTATTCAGACTGATCAAGGAAACTGGTATTAGGAACCCAAATGTGAGTGAGACTATTTCGGAAACGGATGGTCTTATTATCCATTCTCAATCCAGGAGACTGGACCAATGGGCAGAACACTTCAGGGATCAGTTCAACTGGTCTCCAGCCACACTTCGGTTACCCAAGATCTCTAGTCATCCTGAATGACAGATCGACGTAAGTCCCCCGACCCTTTATGAGTTTGGGAAGGCGATAGGAAATCTGAAGCGAGGGCGAGCTGCAGGTCCTGATATATTGACCCCTGAGATTCTCAAGGATGGTGGTTTAGTTTTAGCAGCTGCATTGACTGAGATCTTAAGTAGGATCCGGGAACTGGACTTCCTTATAGCATACTCCCACATCATACACCACCCGTTAAGATAAGCAGTGGTTGGTTATTCGTAAAGAATGTGCCGATCACTTCACCTGATGAGGACTGACTACTTTAATCGATTTGCCATCCCTGCTTAGCACTTCGTTCCTAACCCAGATATTTCTCGCTCGTGGTCAAATGCTAGTAACCCACAATCACCGTCCATTCTTGGTGACCATGCTCCAGAAACGTAGAGCAGGATAGAGAGAACTGCTGAGCAGTAGACTAGTCCTTTAGTTGGTAGGTGGATACTTCGCTTACGTTACACCTTAGACGAAATAAAGGTATATGAAAACACTAAATTGATGGGTGTAAGCGCTATACTCGTCTATTGACAAAAAGAAAAAAAGCCCTAAAAGACATTTAGTTGGTACTAAACTGTGTTTTTTTTTATCTACGCTGGTAGTTTGTCAATCTCAAAACCACCGAGGATTTACGGTTCATAGTATCAAAAACCAATGTTTACTTTAACATTTGATACCAGGTAATAATCGTATATTTCTTGTTAAAATATTCTTGTTGTATATGTAGCATTATCACTGGTATTCGATCAGTTTTAAGTGCCTAATTTAAGCTACGTTAATTTATTTATTTTAGATGGTTTAATGAAATTAAAGGAAAGTGCAAAAAGAAGAAAAGGCAGAGGATTTGGAGCTGGTATACATTTTTTAATTTCTAAGCCTTGTAGACTCGGTTGGGACGACAAAAGAAGGGTATGAATCTCTAGTGGTAAATGATGGGTCGTCAAAATCAGGACCTCAAAGATGTAAGTTGTAACAATATATATATGTATATATTTCACTAGCCGTAGAAGGTTGGATCTTGTTTGTCAGGAATGTACAGGAAGAGGCTACGGAAGAAGATATCAGAGATAAATTTTGTGAATATGGAGATATAAAAAATATACACTTAAACCTTGACCGGCGGACTGGCTTTTTAAAGGTACTTTCATATATCTGATTTTCTAATAGACTACAGGGGTATGCATTGGTAGAATACGAAAATTTTAAGGAAGCGCATACCGCTATGGAACATCTGAATGGTTCTGAGCTAAACGGCCAAAGAATCCACGTGGATTGGGCATTTACGAAAGGTCCTAATCCGGTCAAGATGTCAACCAAACACAGAACGCGTGAACGCAGTCGAAGTCGGTCAGTTGACCGTGCTCGACGATAATTGTACATTCATCCTGTAGATGAAATACATTTTTATATATCTTAAATACCTTTTTATTAAACAAAAAGTCGATACAGTTGATATATTTATTATATTGTGTATTACTTTGAAGCTTGTTTCTTTTTGCCAAGCATGAAATAAAATTCATTTACAAGCCACTTAGGTATGACCATATACTAAGTGTGAGAGTAAGCAATACTACTCGGCTGTTGAAAGCAAAGTAGGTCAGGCGCGGTCCTGAATTTAAACATAATATTGAAAGCAAATACAAAACTCGGTACTATTTAGTCGGTCTAGGCTAAAAAACTTGATATCTACAAATTAAGTTGAAAAAAGACGTAGCAATAGCAAAAACCAATCTTATGAAAGTGTGTTTAGTACTTAATTACATTATAGTCAGATGGATATTGACATCGCTAACTTCTGCTAAAAACGAGTTCTCATATTGTCTTACGTCTAATCATAAATTATGCCCTCGATTTATTAGTTATCGGCCGTCCAAACGACAAAATAATGCAGAAGTGTAACTGAATTATGTCCTCTCATATATCATGCCTATGATACCTAGTGGGATGGGACATGTTAGTGACATCTTCGTAATTATATTTCGGAACTAAGTCATACTCCTTGAAATATGTTGTTTGATGCATTATGATAGTTAAAAGTAGGTGACTAAGTAAGAATTCCTTAGTAAATTTATGAAATTCAAGCACTTTAGCTGCATATGATAACTGCGACCCCTTTGAAACTATTTTAAAGATGGATTCTTACTTTTCAAACTAAATTATTTATGAAGCATGGTTTTATGTTGCCACAGTTTATACGATTTAATAAAAAATGTGAATAATATGGAGAGAGGTATAGCAACAGATAGTAGATCACATACCAGCCTGCAATTAGAATACCGTCAACTAACTTTTCAACATATGTATATATATAAAATAAATATTCTGACTAATTGGATATCTTTTTAAATTCGTCACTTGCCCGTTCATAACTTCGTGCCTAAATACTTAGATTAATGCCCAAGTTGCAGTCTTAATCTAAATACCCATTTACCAACACTAGAAATTTGTCGCAAACGGGGAATAGTTTATTCGATGAAAAAATTACATTAAATGCTTGGCAGTACATATTGAAAATGCAAAGGATACATGACCCAGCGCTACGTATTGTATGATTTCGTTATCGAAAGAATCGCATTCCTACAAGCGTTTTGGTTTGCCAGCCTTAAAATCTGTCCATTTTGATTGGCATTGTAATTGACGGTGATTTGGGATACGCGAAATATGATTTATCCTCGCGATTCAATAATTTATTACTCCTGAAAATTATTACGCCTACGTTGCAACCAGTGCTTCCTCAACACCTTTGATCCATAAATTTATTGTGATTTGATTTTAGAACATGATAGACTCAAGGTTACTTGTTGATTTTCCACGAAGTTTACATACGTATGGAGAGAACTTAGGTTGTCATGTCTTGAATGGGTAGAGTTGTGTACGAATCCTTGAACAAAGTCTTTGTCCCGTCCTGAAAGCTACTTAGCTTCCGCTGTCCTGCTACAATAAACGAATAAGACTGAGTATGTTACTCGATCAAGGCACTTATGAAGTTAGTACAAAATTAAATGACTAACTTGAGATATTCGACATTCTTACTATCATTTTATTTGATGACCAAGTCTTACAGCATTTGTCTTCAAAATACATATATTTTAGCATAAGAACAGCATTCATGTTTAAGCACAGTAACAGTGTTGTAGCCTTACATGATCAGATAGGAAATGGTGTCTTTGGAAACTCACCTTGCAGCACTAAGGTGACTTTTCATGACTCCTGTGTTTCACTGTTCCTGATGGATTATTACTGGTGATTTTGTTCTCAGTAAACTTAGTCGAACGTCTCGTGGGTTGAAATACTGCATTCTTACATACAACTATTTCAAGTGTTTTTCTAACGAGACGGAAAAACATCGTACGAAAAATTCAGTAAAGATGCTCAGTCGATGCAATAATTTTAAGACACTCTGCAGAAAAGATTTCATCAACACTAATTAGTGTTCAAATCCCAACAAGTCTTTTTAAATTCATAATTCATTCATACATCGTTCTAAGCCATGGAAAGACTGATACTTTCTAGCAGATATTATATCAACAATGTTATCTTTATCTAATTCACTTAGAATTTTTTTATTTATCACTGTATAACTGAGTAATGTGACAACACTTGTATAAGTAGATTATTTATCTACTGCTTTTTATTTATCGTTTAGAAATACCATGCACTTTGTTTCTATCCATTCATCTATCATTTAGTCAGATAGTATATGTTAAGCGAATTTGGCATGAACATTTATGAAAATCAAATGATCAAATTAAACAGATCAGAATCATATTGATTACATAGTTTTTTATTTGAAATGATAACAAAATAAGCAAATCATTTGACAGAATAGAAACATTAAATGACAGAATTGCACAATTTCTAAAAATATATTCCAATCAATATGAGCAATATATATATATATATATATATATATATATGTATATATATATTAATGATTAGTTGTATTTACAATTATATACTATCAATAATAGTCAAATGTATTCCATAGTTTAAAAATTACAGCTTGGAATGTTCAGTAATCAACTATGTACTTCTTCTACTTTAGCTTTTTCAAATAGATTAACATTTCGTATTCTAGCATCATATAATTTGTGTGTATAAATATATTCCAGTGTACGATCTGGAACAAGATAACGTACACTTTCACCATGAGATAAAGCATGACGTACAAATGTAGAACTAAGTGAATTGTGACAATTATCTACCACTAATTTTATATTATTCTAAATCGAAAAAAAAAAATTAAAATAATTTTCAAGAATACATTAGAAAATACATACATACATTTAGAAAAGATATCGATAATAAATATTGATGTACATAAGTGAATTATCTAAACAGATCTATGTTTAAATCATCATAACCGAACGCATCGATATGAGGCAAACAAATCATAATTTTTCACTGTTTTAAAGGTTTTGAAATGATTGAAGACTATTGGCTCTATAAAAAGATAACACCTCATTTATTGTATTTCTACTTGATAGTTTTAGAGCATTCAATGAACTACATGACAGTGCTCACTGTGAATTAGTGTCAATCGATAATTAACGACTAACTGAGAGGTGTATCATACTTTTGCCTTTTCAGAAGTATATATGAATGAAAACATTAATTTCAGCGATGAAGCTCAGCGGAAAAGAACGGTAAAATACAACTTATTTTTAGTTCGGTGAATAAATGTTGTCAAGAAGAATTTAGGCGTTGTCAACAAGTATTTCTTAGAGTTACTAATATATGGTGTTTATCAATACATCTCAGGTTAACAAAGTAAAAAAAAGCCTTATCGTAGATCAACATAAGAAATCTAACTTACCTGAGACGATAAATCTTACTAGTCACTAAACGTATTCAAATAAAGCACATAAAATATTTATAAGATTTTTACTTTCAAAATTTGACTGCATTTAATTCGGCTATTTATCAATTCTATGCGTATACAAGTAATCAAATAATTTATACTTAACATGTTCACCACTATGGCCCCGTATCAAACATGTTTTTACTTGACCATTAATTATTACTCATCTGATGCATCTCTGTTTATCTTATATTCTGACCTCCAAATCAGGATATTCATTTTTTATTTCCATGAAATGCATTTCGCCCTGATTAGAGATTGGATGTATGTGTTGATATTCATGTCGAGATTCAAACTGAGTATTAAACGCAAAAATACTAAGTCTATAAAGCTACCGACATGCCAAGCGAGTATGATAATTTCCAAGAATTCATATTTGCCTGTTTATTGTTCACACATACCAACAGAAAACCGGTCTGCGAGAAAATAGTAACCGACGGTTAGAGACTTTCAATTACATGGCTCAAAATCGTTTGCGATGGCGCAAGTGCATCCATTCTGTGCGTTCACTCACATTCTAATCTTCTGAATTATTGATCACCTTTATCATTCTTTTACTGGATTATACTTCTTGAATAATATCTTCGAACCCTTATCTTCTTCATTACCGCTAATACTTCTACTACCTTTACTACTATGGGGTTTGAATCGACAATTCCATCTCTATGTACTAGTGGCAAGTTGAACTGATGTGCGTATGTACGAAGTTCTACGTTGTAGTTGACTGACAAATGTAATCCTAATTAACACTAAATAAGTATACATACACAAGTTATTACAAATAAAGTTTATGTTTCGAAAACAGATAAGGTAATCGAAATTCCAGTCGCACTTGTTTTATTCATAACTTGACAGTAATCGAATACACAATATTCATGAGCAATCCAATAAAAAAAATAATTAGCCTCACTTCCTTCTCGATTGACTTTAAAACCATATGATTCAATCATTTGAATATTCTCACTATGATAACGCAAAAAAGATAATTCAAACATTCACGTATGTATTTACAATAATTTTTCCCAAGAATAATATTATGTATTACAAAGTAGAATAAATTACCTCATATTTGCATAGAATGTTTGATTGATGAATAATTTTCGAAGCATCGTATGAAGGTCGACTAATACAAATTATACCATAGTCACGAACAATTGTTTCAATCTAATATAAGATAATAATAATCCAATAGAAATTTATCTAGATTATTGGAATCTAATTGAACAAAAAAACGTATGGTTATTTGATGAAATTAAGCAAACTTTATGGATCACAGATAATGGATAACTAGTAATTAAGGGCGTTAGAATGTACACTATTGCGGGTATCGGAGACCTGGTTGCGTGACCGCAGAGTCCAAGGGACAACTGCTTGAGGCCGGTCACGCACGGCCTTTTTATGAAACGTTTTTGAAGATTAGCTCCGTTCTTAATGGCCCTTAGTGGGCACCCTTACCCAAGGAGACGGAAATCCGTGAGGTAGGGGAGGTGTGACATTTTTAGGGCCGACCTTTTCTAACCCTTCCTTCCTTGTGAGAAGGCAGCATCGCTGCAGATGCTGGTTGTCCGAGGGAAACACCTTACTGCTGTCACACCCCTCTGCAGTCAGCAGTACGACTTCGCCCTCAGACCTTGGGTAGCTGCTTTTAGTCTCATCGTCCTCCGATCGACCTGCCTGGCATGGTAGGACCTGCAGGAACATGTGTTCCAGCCAGTATAGCTCGGTTGGGTCATCACGATAGGCAAGCCCGACCACCACGTCAAGGTAGCAGCCTCGGTCAATAGATGAAGTGGTGAAACTTCATCAGTTGAGGTGGTTGGGACATGTGTTACGTATGCCTAACCACCGACTGCCTCGACGAGCTATGTTATGTGGTGTAGGAGTAGGTTGGTAGAAAGCTAAGGGCAGCCAGACCAAAACATGGCACAAATCCATGAAGTCTCTGACAAGTGGACTGAGTCATGTTGGTAGATGTAGACTACCTGGTTGGGATCCGCGAGACGAAAGTCATCAATGGTTAGAGACCTTGAACGACATGGCTCAAATCGTTTGCAATGGCTCAAGCGCATCCACTCTTTGAGCTCTCTCAAATCCTAATCTTCTGGATTCGTCAGCACCTCTACCTTTGTCTTTCTAACCTTATCTCACTGAATTATATTTCTTGAATAATATCTTCGAACCCTGGTTTTCTTTATTAACATTAATACATCTACTATCTTTATCACTATGGGATTTGATTTGACATTTGCGTCTCTGTGCTAATAATGTGGTATGGCAACATGAACTTATGTACATACGTACGAAGTTCTACGTTGCAACTGACTGACTAAGAATGTACACTATAATCAATGAATCCCAAGTTTGCTTTATTACGCAATAGTTAGATTGGAAAGCTGAATAAAATTTTCGATTGTTTGATAGAATAGAATAGAATAAATTAGTCAAACAAGAAAAGTTCCGGCACGCTTAGGCTTAGTGAGCAAAACATGAAATCTTAATTAGCACACTGAAAAAAGGGCTACAATGCTAAAACATTTTAGTTATGAATGTTGTATTTTTAAGAGATAATAATACTAAAGCGATACTTGATCTATACACAATAGACATAAGGTGATGATTCACTGAATGAAGGCCTCGAATGTTTAGATAATTAAAAAAAATAAATCATAAACTTACATCTTCAGCGGACCACAAATTTGGAGTTGCAAATGATTCAAGAAGATCAGCACCACAAACTAATTTCACACATGGCTTCGATAGTGAAATGTCTGAACTGGTTTTCTGATTTTGACAAGATTTATTTGCAGATGATAATGAAGTGAAACGATTACTGTTAACATGATCATCATCAATATTATGCACTCGATTTTCACTACGTTTTCCGTTACTAACATTGGTAAGAGAGTCGAGGTGAGTAAAGCAGTTTTTAAGCCAGACGTCAGTTGCCATGCCTTCTAGTGATGAAAGTTTTGTTCGTTCATGGTTTTCGTTAACCAAATGATCAGTAGCTAGGGAATAAATAGATAGATAGATAGATGGACAGATCACAAGTTATTCCTAACAAATGAAGACGTAAATATAATTGAAAATAAGGTATTTCAGTAGTTAGTATACTACGGAATTAATCAAGGAAGCTTTATACACTAAAAAGTCGTTGCGAAGAGGATCATGTTATTACCGAACAAAGGCACTAAATAAAAAGGAACCGGTTTTAGATGTCTTATTGTTCTAAATGGATCTTTGTTACGGGGTGAGATATGCAGAGGCAACTAACGACAACTGTGATGCCGTATACAACAGCTTTACTTACTTATAGCGACCCCCCTTAGATACTCTAAAAGGCAAATCTTATTAATAAGACTTACTATAGGAGACCAAAGAAGGGTGTTTTTACGTACAAGCTAACCTTGTAATACACCGGGTTTACTGATTATCAATCACAGAATACAAAATCATAGTGGAATAATCAATATAAGGAAATACACTAAGAATCAAACTGAATACAGTGAAATTCGATGTGAGAAATTCACCGAATCGCTTTAATACTGGCTCAGAGAAAATCCTTTAAAACAAAAATGAGAAATCATCCCTAAATAAAAAGTTTTCATGGAATGTGATTCGTTGGTCAGACACTATCAGCAACAACTTACTATGGGAGAGAACAAACCAGATTCCAGTGGAGGAGGAAATCAGGAAGAAGCGGTGGAAGTGGATAGGACACACACTACGAAAAGCACCCAACTGCGTCACAAGACAAGCCCTCACATGGAACCCTCAAAGTAAAAGGAAAAGAGGAAGGCCAAGGAACACATTACGCCGAGAAATAGAGAAAGACATGAGAAGAATGAACAAAAACTGGAAAGAACTAGAAAGGGAAGCCCAGGACAGAGCTGGTTGGAGAAAACTGGTGGGCGGCCTATACTCCATTGGGGGTAACAGGCATCGAGATCGAGAGAGACTGAATGTGATATTACAGGAAACAGTGGTCTTTGTGAAGAATCTTCAAAAGATGCACTAAAAACTAATCTACATCAAATAACCAAAAGTCACAAACATTTATGATCATATTTTAAGCGTAGCAAACTTACACGAAGAGCTGATAGGTGAGAAGCAAATCTTTTTCTTCATGACTGAGTTAATGCCGGTTTTATGGTTGTTATTCAAATCTGAATAGATATCATTTAAGACACTGTTGATGTGATCTAAGACCACTCGTGTTCTTAACCAACGTGACTGTGAACACTCCCAATTGCTTACAGCTAACCAGTCAGATGTAGAAATACAAGCTAATCGTGTAAGCTCGACGCGTATAGAGGCTGGTAGGAGACCTTTCTTTTCATAGAGATCGGACACAGGACTAAATATGCCTCCAACGACAATTGTTTGGTGATGGCCATTATTTACTAAATAGTTATCACCATATTTCTCGGACAAAGCATGATGAGAACCTTCTGTTGATAAATGTAAATTTTCGATCTTATCTCTAGCTAGTTCTAAACAAAAAAGAGCGTTAAAAATCGAGACTAATCAAAATTCATTTTTAAATAAATAAAATGCAAATGGTAAACAAAAATTAAATCATTCCAGTAAATCCTTTGAATATTCCAATTAATATTACTCATGAGTGTGGTTAAATAACGGGACAATGACTGGGAATAACTTTCAGTTAAAATTAAACCTCATGAACATTTATCTTGTTGATTATTGCACTCAATAAAACTGAATGGCCAAAAGTACTAGATCAGATTAGGTTTTAAATTGGACTTATAGTTTCATACATCAAAAATCGATCAGTGGTAATATCAGTGATTGCGGTATTATATGGAGAGAATTCGAAAAAATGACGAGATTTCCGCGTCAATAAGGCTGTAGAAAAGCCCTATTTAAGAACTGCAATATACACGAAACACTAATATAATTTAATTAGCTACAACTATCTGATATTATATAGACGATAACTAAACACGACATCGGGCTACCACACCACTTAAATTGGACCAAGCGTTTAACCAAATGATTGATGACAACTACTTGCCAATGTCGCGAAACACAATAAAAACTGAATAAAGTGTAGTGATTAACATGAAACAGATGTTGTTTATAGTGCTTTGTAGCCTAGTTAATTAAGAACCAAACAGTACCCTGGGAACTGTTGGTTTACACACTGCTTTGGTCCAGGTTCCATTACAAGTTTGATTATTAATCCACACCTCCACATTTAAGAAAATGTTATTTCAAAAAGGAAAATATTCTCATTTTGGCTCAAAACAATTTTTTAGGTGGGGACGTGCAGTAAGAGGTTAGTGTCTCATCTTTTTCATCAACTCAATCGCCTTAACATAGCGACATGATTTTTCACGCGCACGTAGTAAACTTTTACAGAAAACTTTTGCTTTACAAATAAAATGACTTACCCATCATTCGCATATGCATTACGGTAATTGGATTGAAAGACCCACACGATAGCAAAAATACAGGTTCTAACCTCAGATGTTTGGTGAACATTGGAGTAGGGTAGTTGACTTTGAAGGGATCTTTCTGGTGAGCCTAATAGTAGCCCAAAACTATTTTTTTGACCTTAGAAACATTAAAATTAAAAAAATTAAAAACAGTACACTCTACTGAATACCTTGGGGACTTACGACACTAATTTGCATTTTTATTGTTATTAAATAATAAGCGTATCTAACTACAACTTCAGATCTAATATTGTCGGAAAATTCTCCATACATCGATATCTTTCCCAATTCCTTTGCAACAGGCATAATTATGGAAGTAAATTTAAGAAATATGAATATCAACTGAAATTTGAAAAAATGGGGAAGCAACAGCAAATAAACTTAAGCACGGTAAGAAAATTCGATGAGATATTGACATTCAGACCCGCTAAGTCCTCAACTGGTAACATTTAAGCCAAAAGAGATGCAATATCTAAATCATTTTACAATTTTAACGTTAGCCGCAATATTTGGAAATGCGGAAATGAGGGTTTAGACTGGTTAAACTAGATTCTACATCACAAATTAGGTCGATCCTACTGTGCTCGAAATATCAATAGGCTCATGACTTGATGAGGCAACTAGTACATGAATACGTCTGACAAGCAGTCATCAACTATCAGTATCGATTCGATGCAATTAAATCAACGTGACAGTAGTTATTTAATTTTTATTACATTTTTTCATTCATCCAATCAACTTGGAATAGTCCCAATGAATCAAGTCTACCTTAAGTGAATTATATATAAAGTTACCCGCTGATCTTGAAGTTTGTACTTTTTGTCTGGCCAGTACCTTCTTCAATTAGCCGACGTTTTCGTTGAACGTTGAAATATCTGTTTCACAGAAAGCTAATGAGACTATATGGAGCATCGATTCTGTGCGAACGTCCCTCTTTTATTATAGATTAAAAATTTGATATATTGAGCTTTACTTCATTGGTAATCCATGCAACATGACGTCTACGTACATAACTTCCTCACCTAATAAAATATTGGATATGAACAAGTAGCGTAATTTAATCAATATAAAATATTATGAAATAATGTTACCATTAATAATGAACAAACTATTTATTATATTTAAACATTTAACATTGGTACAAAGGGGAACTTAGTCATTCAGATGCAAGGTACAACTTAGTACGTGAATATTTATACACCGCGCAAATTAGTGAATCGGCTGGGATACTGCCTGGACACCCAACCAGAAGCCAGCAGTTTACTTAAGGGGTCACAAGGAGAGCATTTGACTCAAAAGCCTAATCCAAAACACAATAAAGCAACTTTAGGAGATGCAGTTCCATAGTGGCTAGTGAATAATAGGTTCATACGCCATTCGTTTCATTAGCATCCAGGGGTCTACTGGATTCGAACCAGAATTTCCCAAGTGCCCTGGTATATCCTTCGACCCCCCAAACACAGATAGAGACGGAAATTTACCTTCTGTACTCTGAATTTCCCAAACACCGCCACAAGAAAGATGCAGGTAGGACTTCATAAGCAGTGGTTACATACACATGGATTTTAGAGAGCGTTCGGCGAGGGAGAGCAGGTTTTCCTTACTCTCTGCCGTACTAAAACATTTGAGGTGCGTTGAATCCCTTTTCACAGAAGAAATATATAACAGAAACCCATATGGGAACGCAATAATTCTCTGAATTCTTAGAAATTTCTCCGATTTTCGGAAGCATACATTAATCAACATTATGTTGATAATGAAAACACCCCCAATCTACCAAGGTAATGAAAAATTCGGCCAGTTAAGGAAAAAAATTGGGAATTTCATTCGAAATGTTAGGGAAATGAGACTACAATCACAAAACTTGGGAAAAAATATTTTGACATAAACAATATAACAGCCGTCCTTATGGAAACAAGAACTTTGAAACGGACCACAAATATACGTCAAGATCAAGTAAACAATAGATATACGTCACAGTCATTCTAGAGTCACATTTCTTATAGTTTCACCTTACGCGCCGAAATCACAGTAGCGATTAGAATTATAAATTTCCGCATTTAATAGTTTTTTGTCTATGGGTGTGACTGATATCACTTTTAACGGGATCGATCAAGCTTACACTTAAAAGGTCTCCATTTTTGGCAGGAGTTGGTCAGTATTGCCTTCAAATAACGAACTATTTTATTTGACGGTCAGTATGATAGTGATGACGTGAAGTAACGGACTGGTTCCAATAACCAGTATCATTTTCAAGAGCTAGTCTAAACCAACTTATTTCTCTGCGCTCGATCCTTGTTCTCTTGGTGCGGTTTCAGGTATATGGTGGTGTCTAGTAGACAAGTTTAGACAACAGTTGGACATAGCGAAACAACTGGGTTGGAGGGTGAGCGTTAAAAATGGGTAATGTACTTGATTCGAAGCAGAGAGTCAAGTGTTGTGCAAGGTATCTTGACTAAGATAGTGTCTAGGAACAATGAGAGGACACCAAATCAGAATGACGTTACGGATTTTATGCACACTACTCGGCATTCTAGCCCTATTGTGTGTTAAACTGTGCTTTTGGTCAGAGATGGGAGAATGCGTAGGGTAATGATTTAGGGAGATGTTTATGTTGCGCGTGTCCTGACTCTTGAGAGCCCTGGGGTTTAATTTTAGAAGCTTACTAACGCACTGAGTAGGATTACTGGTGGTGAGGCATTATTGCTTACCAAGTTGGTTGAATACTGTGGGCAGAAGGTTATAAAGAGTAGCACGTTTCCGAGGCGAAAATCTGTTAAGTTGAGTCTTTAGGTCCTTATAGGTATATTTAGATAAATGCTGATGTACTACAGAGTTGCAACCAACTTGCGGTTTGGTAGTTGAACTTTTAGACTGATGACGAATGGTTGCAGCTCTTTTGTTCATAGAATAGACCTTTGAACTAGCACTCTCACTGCATTTGTTAACGGTTTTGGGTGGGGTAGCAAAAAGTATTTCGGGGCTCATGTATCAGTCGTGATTTTAACTGTTACTATTGCATAAATTTAACTGCTTAGCTGTTATTGCTTTGAGGATTCCACGTTTAATTGCGGTTCTGTCACGGATAATTCTAGTATCATGTAGCGGAATGCGTTTAATTTGTGACTGACTATTAATGAAGTGATTCGCTTCTATGATACTATTAAAGTGGAGAGAGTGGAACAGAAGAATTTAGTGTGGACGTTACGAAACTTGAGTGCCACACATCAAGAGTGGGACAATCAACGCATTTAATAAAATACTTTACCAGACTTAAGGGACACGCTGTCAGGTTTGTTACACATGCTGGCACTTGCCTACAGGAAACCATAACATTCCTGACTTGAAATTTAGTCATGATGTCACAACGACATATATGGTGGTCTGCAAAAAGTGTCGCAACCCCAATCGTCAAGTAGTCCTCTATGTAATACTATTTCTTGAGAAATGCACCATATCCAAAACAACATTCTGTTTTGAACACACATACTGTGAATATGTCTACATTACATCTGCTCCAGCAACTACTACTCCCTGCAGAACGTCTTTCATAACAATGAATTCTTGTGTCAACCAAAAATCAGGGCTAGGCTTCATAAACTGCGATGGACTCTCTTCATATCTAGAGAGTCCAGCACCCTGCACAAAATGTAATCTGTACTAAAGGGTGTGAAAAGTAAGATTGAAAGGCATAAACAAGTAGAATAAAGTAATGCACTTGCTACTGCGTCTTAATCCCGAAACCTCTATCGTCCGTTTGCAAAACACATAAAAAAGAAAACAGAATACCACATTCTTTCTTTTCTGCTTAATGGAGAGATGTATCATGACCAAAGTGTTATTTGTAGATGGTTCTTCCTCAGTCAGAGCGCATCTCTCACCTTTTAGACTATTCGTAACTGCATCAATAAGAATATTCTCAATGCCACCAACTTTGAGCTCAGTAATATTCATACCACCAGCAAACCCTCATATTCAATGCAAGCTCTGGAGTGAGTGAAATGGCAGGACCACTTATGTTGACGCGATTACTCAAAATATTTACCTTGTATTTAGTTTCTGGTGCATACCCTGAAGCCTGGGGGAGTTCCCAAACACTAATCAGGGTGGAAAGGTCAATTTCAAAACTGAAGACAAATTATCATACATGTTATCTCATGGGTAACGGAGATAAAAGATAAGTGATAAAAGATCACTTATGTGGTTACCTACTCAAGAAAGTTGGTATCAATACCTCTTGCAATATATCTCCGTTTGATCTTGGTTTCTACTACATGTCTGATAGAATTCTTCAATGATGTTACCATCCTATTCGATGAAAAGCAACAAGTGATAGTATTAAATTTTGAAATCATGATGCTTTCGTCAAGGTGCCTCATAATCTCTCAATCAACAGAATTCAGTCAATCAGGATTACTGGCCCCGTTGCTACAATGGAGTAGATCTCTTGCGAACAGGGACCAAATAACTTAAATAAGGTGTAAGACATCTACACCTAGATTCATAACCAGTGATGTTGTTCAGGGCCATGTCTTTTCATAATCTACATCAGCAACGGATGCACGTGCACCAACGCAGTCAAAACTTACCTTCACGTAAGTGTTTTATAGAACTAATGTGACGTAAGAATGTTTAATGCAGACAATCCAGTATAAAATCAATAATGTAGATTACTGCTGTGAGCGTTGGAACTTAGAACTCGATATAGAGAAATGTGGCTGGCTATGTTTCGGAAACACGTTTGTTTAAACAGACTTCATACTCAAAAACAAAGCCTCGCTTGAACTTTTATCAGCAACTAACCTTTGCGTGTATTACTCACAGCCTAAAGACTTCTGGACACCTGTTAGTCAGAGTACACCAAATGAGAAAGTTGCTAGATTTCATTTTTCTTTACTTCCTTCATAATGAATCTAAAACTGTTCTTTATATGTTCAGGGCCGGTTGATGAATACTGCTCGTTCATGTTTTCCAACTCACACCTATCAGATATATTGAAAGTATACGGAATTCAAAGATATTTCACTCACTAAATGCTTTAAATTAAATCTCTCAATGACAATTCCACGTGATGTCATGAACTCGGACTTAAACCATACTGGAATAAGAAAGCTTCAGTTCAGTCTAGTTCTGAATTTGAAGCTCCTACACAAAGTCGCATACTCCTTTTCGTTACCTCGATGATGCCCGTCAGGGCTTTCAAATTCCTCCATTATTACTCAACCTTGTCGACGACGCTCTCATTCTGTGACTTTTCAGGATTTGAAGGCTCGATTGGCTTCTGCCAACTTGCGTCACTTATGGCGTGGGCGAGATATCCGTTTGCTAACCGAAGGACGAATCTTCCGTGTAGCAGCTCGCCCTGTCCCACTCTATCTGTGTGAAACATGGCCAGTTAGAGTAGAAGATATTCGTAGGTTACTGGTATTCGGTCATAGGTATTTTCGAAGTATCATTCGTACATTCTGGGGTCACCGAGCAGGCAATGCTAGTGCTAGAAAACAGCACTAAGTATGGCAAGCCATTAGCTGAAGTAGTGAATCTTCACCAGTTGTGGTGGTTGGGAAGTGTGTTAAATGTGCCCATCACATGATTGCTTAGACGAGCGATGTCGCCTAGAGTAGGGGTAGACTGGGAGAAAGCTAGGGATGGGCAAATCAAAACATGGCACAAATCCATGACAAGTTGATTGATTCATAATAATAATAATAATAGTAATAATTTATTCTCAAATAAGACAATGTTACAAGAGGCATACCGATATACGGGTAAGATCAAAATGTTAAGATTGCTTACATATTTTCTGTAAAAGATTGTTCAGCTACTGAAATGTTTCATAAGATAAATTGGCTTCATACAGATGGCTGAAATTTTCCACGCAAAATTAGAGATAATTTTCCAGACTCTGCGATGTACTATGAGATTAATTGGCTCGAGTTACGAGGGTTGCGTTACGATGGACCGCTAATGGCTGCGAAACAATGTATGGTAAAGCCAGGTCTGTATATAACCAGAACTGGTGAGGTAAATGCGCTAAGATCTTCTAGATATTCGTCAGCCAATAAATGTACAGGCTCCTGAGTAAGGTAAACAAGTCTTCGAACAATATCGGAATTAATATTATGGATTAGAATAAGGTGCTGAAAAAGGGAAATAAAAAAGGGGCGAGGAGCAGAACAGAAAATACTCTCGTTTAAATTGAACAATGACTCAGTAGACACTATTTTAATTAGAACACTAATTGTACACCTGCACTTATGTAGGTCGTTAACCCAGCCGATGTATACGCAACCTTTGATATAAAGTGTCTGTATTCAAACTGCAGAAGAATAAAGCAAAAACTCGGTAAGACATCCTCCTCCTTAAGCATGCACTTCCTTCGAAAATACGTATGACAGTTGAACTACATGCGTTTTTAAGTCTTCTTAACGAACGCGTGAACTCACTCGTACACTTCTCATACATCATAAGCTCTCTACACGTTTAAACCATAACGAATTCAGAATTTTTTATCCTCTCCGTGGGGTAACATTAAGATATTCTACTTGGCTTTATATTTAACTCTAATTCCCATTTGAAATTGACAGAGAGCTCACTGAGACGATCGATACTATTCAACTGTAGCTGGATGATAAGAACGCACTCTGCTACCTTTAAGGATCGTGGCTCAAACGTTACTATTTGCAACGGTAC